CTTAAATCCGATAACCTCTCAAAACTGATACAAAAGCTGTCCACCATGCCTATCGGATTTGAGAGGGTGTACTGTACCTAGTTTCCGGAAAGTTAGGTAATTTACCGAAAGGCCAAAAAGATTTCGGGTAATGAGCAGGTGTCCCAGAAATTGTAAATGCGGGCCGGGCCGGGCCGGGCATTAAACCTTCATTTTTGATTTCTGCACCTGCTTTTTTGATACATCTAAACATCCCAAAATTAACCAATAATATCAAAAATGAATGATTTGCCTGTTCATATTTAAAAAATTCGACATCGTATCACATGATAGCGAAATCATCGCTTCTATAAGTCACCCAAGTGATTGAGCATACTATTACACTCATTATGGCTAGTTATACCCGAGGTGCTGCAAGTAAATTTTGGGAAAAAGTGCGTCAACTTTTGACTGTGGTAAGTTTATAATAGACCGAACAACGAAAGTTAAAAGGTTTGGTCTTTTAATTAGCATAGATTTCGAAGACTTTGCAAGAAATCATACTGGTATTTTTTATATTAAAGGCACCAACATTTACATAATTACAATTAAAGAATCCAGAGACAAATACGGGTGTTCCCGTTGTAGGGATATATCGCACACCATCTCCAGGGTATGAACAAATGTCAATATTTATAACTTCAGTTGTATGAATTAGAATTATTGACCGGGTTTCTGTTTTTACATAGTTCACAGCCAAGTACATACGTTCGGCCCCAAACAAAACATTCAGATTTAGCTCAAAATTACTATTTTAATCGTGATGCACGACGAAATTATCCACGTTTGGCTGTATATACACAAAATGACGTCGCAAAGTTAATCGCAGCTCCACATTTGAAAAGGTTTAATATTCTCAATTTCGGGCTTGCTTTTCTGGAATAATCCTTTTAATAATCTCAAATTTGTACTAATAATTAGCATAACGGCTGATGACCAAGAAGGATCTAAAGAATCAACTCCAACGGCAATGACTATTCCAGAAAAGCTTGATTTAAATGAGGCAATTACTTCATCCCCAATCTTATATTCGACAGAGAAACTACCTCCTGTTCCTCCTGGTCGTCCATCATATCGTTGGAAAAAAGTCTGAGGATGCAGATGATCCTGATCCAGGTTTGATAAAACCTCAAGTTTTTTAAATTTTTATATTCTATATTCTCAAACCATTTTATTTTTCTAGGTGTTTACTGGCCCATGAAAATGATTTCGTAGCTATTCATTTATATTTGAACCGATATAGATGTATATATATATTCTTTTTTTTATAATATTACATACTATTACAACATTTCATTTGTGATTATGCACACATACGTTCGCTTTATGGGTGCTATTTTTGCTTCTGTGCCTCCCATTGTGCCGGTGTATAACTTTTCTGTTCAAAATTTTTTACAGTAAATAGATTAAAGCATTTGTGTTGATAAGCTATTTTTCGCAATAGATTATTTAAAATAAATAAATTGATTACCTGCGAGAAAGCATGAAGCTGTGCAATTTCCGATTTGCATGTTTCATTCACTAATCGATGTTTTTGTAAAACACTTTTACCTTCAAATATTTTAGACACTATTATAACATCGTAACTTTGTCCACATCCACCTTGTAAAAAAAAAAAAAAAAAAAAACTCAATAATAAAACAAAAATAATAAAAACACATTTTAATAATTTAAATCTTTAGTTTTAAATAAAAGGCTAACCGGAAGTATCAATAACTTCAACATATTCAGCTTCAAGTTTTTCTCTCAGGGTTTGTTCTAATGATTCCTTTGAGATACCGGACATTTTTTTAAACGTACGTACGTATGTAATATGCGGTAAGACTTCTGCAAAGCCAGCAGTATATATAGTAAAAATATATGGTATGGTACAGAAACACAATCAAGACGAACATGCGGAAATCATGACAGTACGTACGGTGTGTAAAAGAAAATTCGTCAAATCAAATTTATTTTTCTGATATCCCTAACACGAAAAAAAGGACTGCTAGGCTCCCTTAATGCTAACAGTTAAAAAAAGGCTACCGCTACCTATTAAATTTTAACAGTGATACACGTAAAATTGATTTTCGTAATTATAAAGGTGCATTTCTAAAAATTTGTTTAATGTTTGGTCATTACAAACTCTCCTTAAAGATGTTGCTGAAGTTTTACATCGTAACTATAAAAAACTTAATGTCTCCCTATATGCCTTCAAAGATGGTTCGTTATTTTGCTTTATTTATTCAGATTACAAAATCTTTTGGATCGAAGTGTTTATTAAATACTGTATTATATAAAATTTTTGTATAGTAAACTAGAAGTCACATCTAATGTTTTTTATTTCAAATGATTTTAATTTTATAATAAAATTAAAAAAAATTCTTTACTGACCAAAAAGCTAACTTAATACGGTATATACAGTATATTGTGGTATATAGTATAATTGGTTAAAATACTGTAATTTTTTAAAAAACTTTTACGAAGGCCATGCAAAGTTAAGTTTATCACTGCTGAATCAAAACTTATCAAATCGGCAAATATTCGGTCGGTCAATTTTTACCTGATTTTCCAGAA